AATCGTTGGTTGGCTGGTATTTGCTGATCATCCCGATGATTATCTATAGAAAAGTAACGATTCACTGTCCAGTAAGATTTAATATGTTGAATAGTAAATGACAGATTCAACGAGTTCAAGCTTCATTCAGCATATTAAGCAGGATTTGTTTATGTGAGATGCAAATGATTTGTTGATCACATGAGTCAGGGCTGGTATCATTATATGTTCGAGTTGTTATGCTTTTTTCCATACAGATCTGAGAGTTTCTATTTGGAATTCCATGAAGCGGAATCATTTCTCAACGACGGACTTCAAATTCGTTATCTGATTTTGCGCGAAACATATCGCTGATAGTGAGATAAGTCTTCTTCCTGGCGAACTAGCCACTGTTGCAAAGTATCATTGATTCATAAATACATATGCTTGAACTGAAAGGAAATTGTCAGGTTAACTTCTGGAAATTTTATGCAATGAATACCAAATAATGTTCCTTTTCGTGCCCTAAGCTGAGAAGTCTCTTGAAACCGATATTCATGTTTGTGTTCGTTTATAAAATTGTATTTGTTTATTGGACAGTGTAATTTTGCATGTTGTACTTATCACTGACGAATATTCACTTCTTTATTTCCTTCATTCAGAATGATCTGCAATTGTGTAATCAACCTGCGCGTATGCATCAATTTACAAACAGCATCACATTCGTTAGGAATCTGCGAAAATAATGAAACACTTCAAATTTGTTACCACCACACGATACTCGTTCTAATTCAGTTTTCAAGACGGTATCTGTTTCCATCGAGCGCAAACGAATGTCCACTTCAATCTCATCGTCGCCTTCATCATATTTAAGTGTCTGTGAAAGTTATGCACACAGAATTGTTGGACATTTTATTTGATAACTGAATGTCTATTTCTAGCCCATTATCACTTCTTTCCTAGTCTGTATGGTCACTTCCTGATAAGATATTGGAGCACTTTTCAGATCGCATTACAGTATTGGTTATCAACCCTTTTTCTCACAAATTACTCATTTAGATCAAAATCCTCGTCTAATTATCCTCTCTCCGTCACCTTTCAAAAGCCGAAATTCTTAGCGATAACTTTCAAAACATGGAAACACTAGAAGAACTTCAAGATGTTCATCGTAGAGCTGCATCACGTTGTGCACATTTTGGTCCGTTGATAAGTGATATTACTCACACTGAGGAACATTCATTTATGCTGGTAACATACAAAAATTTACTCATTTTATTTACACCTTTATCTAGCGCCCAAACAATGGAAGTGTATCATAGTACCGTAAATAAAAGATTTAGTAATGAAAATTATTCACATTAATTGTTGTATCGTAGGATATAATATTAAACGCAACTGCGATGGGTTTCTCTATGAACAATGTACTACTATTTCACATATCAATAAACATAGACTGGCAAGCGGATGCACTCTAGCGAAATGGCTCGTAACAAATAAGTAACGATAGATGCCTCACAATGGCCATAAACATCAAGCCGGACGGACGGACGGATGGACACATTAAATCATATCTTCAAATGGATTTCCATCGATGCGTGTTAAGTTAGTTGGAAAAAAAATTGAGAAATTCAACGATTCTTGAAACTTTCCGAAACGAAACGTGAAATCCTATTTGAAAATAAAAAATGTTCCTTGAAATTTTGATGGCAGTAGCGGCAGGATTGAGTCTATAGGGTATTATTGAGGAGGGTTGACGGTTGATTTCTTGTGCTGCGAACGATTTCACAACAACGAGAAAATATCATGAGAACATAAGAAATTATGTTCGTTTTGATCGCTTATATGGTTTCGTTCTTTTGCCTTTGAATTCGGGCGTTGACGCATTGTTCTCATTGGTATTTTTGGTTTCATTTTTATCACTGTACCTCTGGTTTTCATGTGCTTTTTTGCTGTCATCTAAATTCTCTTGAACGTCATCCTTCGAGGCACTCACCGTACCAGAATCATTATCATCAGCTGCTCTCTCATCGATTCCTTCATCCTCTTCAATCTCCTCATCTACCTCATCCTCTTCCTCTTCGTCGTCGTCGTCGTCGTCCTCCTCCTCCTCGTCGTTCACGTCGTTGCCTCGTCGTCTTCGTTCCTTCTTATTATAT